CTTTATTCTTATCAGTCAGCTCATAGCTCACAAAACTGATGCTTTATTCATTGAATTTAGTGTTGCTGCGAACTGATATGTTTAATATATTAGTTGGTGAGTCCAGAATGAGAATAATTGAGTCAATTCTTCCCATTTTCTCATCAGTGAGCCTCTCTTTATGCAAGATGTTAGTCACCTCTGTGATACATTCCTAATTTTCCAGCCTATTTGTAATGGTTATAGTAATGATGGGAAGGCAAAGTATTATAACAGTACATATTCGAAGAAATATTTGCTGGTTTTCCTCAGGCTTAACCTGTCGGGTTTTGAAGGCTTATGTAGCTGTGGAATCAGACCTCTTTGCACACTGAGAGTGTAAAGCTCATCAAGGTCACATCAACTGTTTATCAGCAGAAGAGGTGGGCAGGTTTCAAACCAAAGGCAAAAGTGTCAGGGCAGTTGGAGCTAATGACTTACCTGAGTGTCATGTGCTGCTGTTTTTCTTGTAATGTCTTTCTCTGAAGAATTGCAAAACATTTCACTTTTGGTTGTGGGCTGTGTTAGAAAACAGCCTACCCTTAGCCTATAGTTAGTTGTTTGTTGTGGAGCTACTATGTGTAATACAGGAAATGCTAGGAGATTAACTAAAGCAGGGTCAAAGTAGCCAGCTGTAATGACTGAGGTGTGGATTCTGTCAGGTATAGCCAGGCTTAATAACTACCTGGAAGGCATAAAGGTAAGCAAACAGGAGAAAATAATGTGTTCCAAAGAAGGATTAAAAGAGAAATAATATGATATGTTGGTGGTTTTTTAGGGGTTTTTTAATATACATTTCAAAATTAAATACTCTGGTAAATATAATTTACCTGGCTTTACAAAAAAATATATATATTGTTTAGCTACTTTAGGTAATTTAGTAGCACAATTAGACTCCATAGTGCAACTTAACTAACTTGGTTTTACCAAGTGGAGCATGGAAGAAAGTCACTGTCCTCCCGTCCACATTTCCTTTCTTGTATTTATGTAAACAAATGACTGAAACCACCTCAGACCTCTTCATACCTGTAAGCTTTAATCTCCTGATCTGTGAAATGGATTTAGTATGCCCTTTACAGTGACAATTACAGCTTAGTATGTGCTCTATGATACTGATTTTTAAAGGTGCTAGGTATTTGCTTGATCTGTCTCCTCCATTTAGCCTGCCTCCTACCTACCTTTCGGTGTCCTCCCTATTAGTTATCTCCATCTCCCCACCCAAATTAGTAGCTACTCCCTATGCATTTTGCTCTTACTCATGACTAAAAGCCATCTTCCATTTAGTCTACCATAAATCTTTATTTTAACCTTTCCTTTCTAAGTTGTTCTTTGAAGTGTACCCATTCCACATGACTCTCAGGTTAAACATCTGGACATGTCTCGGTAGCTGTGCAGTTCTGTTCCTAAGAATGGGTGAACTCTGCTCCACACTCCACACAAATGGACTCCAAACAGGCTGCTCTGGAACATCCACTTAGGATTTCATGACAGGTCACCACACCAAAGTGATAAGTAGTTTGAATGTGAATATAAAAACTGCAACTGACCTTAATTTGCTGTGGCCAGATCTGTCTCGGGCTCCTTACACCAAATATGTAGGTTAGCAGTTTCTTCATGATCATGACAGTGTCAGCAAACCCAGTGAATCACTGAGGAAATTGGCAATCAGAGAAGGATTGACAGGAAGTTTGCAGGATTGTGCCTGTTTATTTCAGGAGCAGTACAGAGAATGGGCATCATAGGCAGACAATAGTGTTAAATGCTTTTAAATAAATAATATTATTTATAAATAATAGAGTTACTAAATTTAGAATGTTTTCTAATTGCCTGCTTATTTTTAAAAATAAAAATATGCAACTTGCTGTTGTATTTTGACTTTTAACTAGACGGGTACAAAGAGGTGATGTAAAGATAGCAAAGCAGAAGATAGCTGAAGTTGTAGACTTCTGTAATAGTTGTAACTTGATGAGTGTAGAACAGGTAATCTAACTTTAAAATTATTGTGTGTTCTATTATTAAACATACAGTTTTAGTCTGTGAAGGCATAATAGACTTCAGGTCAGTAAAAATATTTATGTCTAAACCAGAGATTGACCTGTTGTAATGTATTTTGAGTGCCCACTCAGAGTTGGTGTCCTGAACACAGAGAAGTTTGCCAGGTTATTCTGCTGACATTAAAAACTCAACTGTGTACTGACATCTGTTGATGGGGATGGTGCACAGCAATTTGCTGTCCCTTAATTTCTTTTAGCATCTGTAACACACAGCTGCTCAAATAGTGTTAAGACCTCCCATCTGAACTTTCCAGCATTTCACTAGGTTTTGGGTCTTGACAGTGTTCTAATCTGCTCCCGAATCCTTTCATTTGTGTCACACTGCCTTTGTGCCAAAGCCTAGAGACCAGCTAAAGAAACAGGGCTCGTGTCCACGTTATTTGGGGTTAATCATAGCACCAGCTTTGTCCACACCCTGTTACTGCCTGGAGAGCATGATGGCATGGTCTGTCTCTTTATTCAGGATGCAAACTAGAGTAAATTATTGCCTCAGGCATACTCACCTTCCCTTTTGGAAGGAAATAGTTGTTCAGTCTGGATGGGAAGTAACTGCCCCATCTAAGGAAACATATTTGTTAAGATTGTATTTTTCTAAGTTCTTCATAGGCAAAGACTCCTTGAATAAATAACCTAGCAGTTACCTGTGTTTAAAAGAGAAAGATCTGTAGTATCTTCAGCATGTTTTTTGGGGGGATTTAATACCCATGAGAGGTTTATCAGTTTTAAGCCTTTGTCATAGTCTGTATTGTAAGACAACTTCTGTATTTTAGTGTTTGGAATGTAATGTTGAATCACTTTATGGACAAACTGCCCCTGATGTCAGTGGAGTGAGTAAATCTCGACGTTTTTGGCATAGGTTGCCCATATGAAAATCAGGTAGCATTCAAAAATCGGTGTTAACTAGTACGTGTGCCTAGAAATCAGGAAAATACTGTAGAAGTCTTTTAGGGGCTTTTTGCTTATTCAGATTGTATTCATTCAGAAAAGCCTCATGGAAGAGCCCTGTAAAACTTCCTCTTTTTCCTGCCCATACTGAATGAGTGTAACTAAATATCACTGATATTGTTCTGGCAGCCTTTATTTTCTCATACACTGAATATAACTAACACGGCCATGCCAAGCATTGCAGAGCATCCTTCTGTTGTTTGTGGGGTGTCTTCTTCTGTCTGAACACTTAACTTACATGATTGTCTGCAGCATGCTTTGCTTTTGATTATGGCTTAAATAAGCCAGTGGTGGGTAGAAAACATATACAATAATATCAGGAAAGAGATTCTTATTTTAAATGCTAGAGCTAGAAATTTCCCTAACAAGAACAAAAGTAATTCATACTGTTCCAGATATTAATCTAAGCAAAGATGGTTAGAAGTTTTGACTGTAAGATTGCATCCTAGCCCTGCTCCCATTTCTGCATGGAAATGCATCATGTCTCCATGTGTATACTGAAGAATTTAAGACATTAGTGTCTAATGACATCAATCCCTATAATGCAGGGCAAAAGATTACAGTAAAACAGAGAGGAAACAGTTACACTGTGAAACATTCACCTCAGGAGAAATGTGTCATCAAAACAGTTACTGACATTTCTTGGCAATACTTGCTTACATTTCCAAGACAAAAGCCTCACACGTTTGTTATGCCATTTTATTTGTATTGTTTTACTTGATCATTTCTCTCATGTTGTTGTAAACAGTTTAAGATCAATCTGAACTTTGCTTTTTTGTTTGTTTGTTTGAGGGAGTTCTTTCTCTTTCATTCTCCTTTCTCTGCCTTGGCACTTTTCCTGGGTTCAGATGTAACAGTTACTTTTCTCCTTCCTAGTAGCTGATGCAGTGCTGTGGTTTCGACTTTAGCCTGAGAACAATGCTGATAAACTATATAAACTGGGGGGAGTCACCTGGAAGGCCCAGATCGCTGCTCAGGTCAGGCTGGGTATCGGTCGGCGGGTGCTGAGCAATGGTATCGTGCATCACTTGTCTTTATTGTTTTATTTTCTTTTTCCCCTTTTAGTGTTATGTTCTCTCTCCTGGTTATTTCCCTAATCATTATTATTTCTGGTGGTAGCAGTAGTAGTTTTGTATTATACCGTAGTTACTGGACTGCTTTTATCTCAACCCGTGGGATTTACATTCGTTCTATTCTCCTCCCCATCCCTCTGGGAACAAAAGGGGAAGAAGGGGGAGAGTTACCAGCTGGGCTTAAACCACAACGGCACTTTATAAGAAAGTGCTTCCTTCTTCAGCCAGTGCAGGCCTCCACTTAGTACAAACTCTTTATAAACTGATATTACTGTGTATTCCCATCTATATATGAAAGGTGTATCCATGATTCTTTTAATCGACGATGTATTCCTTAAACAATACTTCTCATAACATCTGTAGTTTCAGGCCAGTTCCCTTTTCCTGACCTCCTTCCCTTTCCCTCCACTTGTTTCTTTTATGTCTATGCTCAAATCTGTTTGCTGCATTTGGTTCTCTTTAAGCTTGCCTCAAATATAGCTTTCACCAGCTTTCACCAGTAAATCATTGACCATGCTCATTACACACTTAACGTGTAGATTCATGCCATTACCTGCTCTAAGTTCTCCTCAAATCACAGCTTATGCTTTAATATTACCAGAACGTTAGAGGCAAACTGCATTGCAAAACACTTGCCATGGTGGCCAGATCTTTTATAGGTACAGGAGAAAACTCTGAAGAGGTGGGAAAAGAAAGAAAGGTAAGTTCATGTGATTTTGCCTCTCATAAGAGAAGATGAAACAAAAGCCATCAACAAATCAGTTTATTGGGTAAAAAGAGAACAGATGCAATGCAGAAATTTAAGATCATAATTTAAGAAAAGGAAGGTCGAGGATGTTTTTTAAAAGTCTTTGCAAGCAATAAAAGATTCGATCTTTTGAATCAGGAAAGGAAAGCAAGAAATGGAATTTTACATCAATCTTAGAAAATGTACTATATTTTCCAGGCCTTTATTTCCAGATTGGAATGCCAACAGCGCACCACAAAGAGCCAAGAATACCGTGCCATGGAATCCCTCTTGCAAATGGCACCAGGTCACTTTTATACCATGATCCTCTAATCGTTTTTTGTAGAGCAGTCCATCATCTCTAAGCACATCATATTCACAGGTCAAAATGAAAGCCTCAGGCAGCTGAGCAATAACACTGTCTTCAGCTAGCAGTGGTGAAAATACAGTGTCAAAAACAGGCTTGACCAGTGCATAGATTTCTTCTGAGAATGAATGTGTTGTACTCGGTTTGTAGCCTCTTCTTTTAAACTCGGGAGGGATGATGTCAGAACTCACCCATTTCCGATACTTCAGTAGCAAATCTTCTGGCACATGATAGCTTTTAAGTACTTTAAATGCTGCTTGTGTGGCAGGCAAATCTTTATTAAGATACTTCAAACCAAGAGAAAGGGTTCGTTCCTTTAACAAAATGGGCACCCCCTCATTCTGCTGATAAGAAGGCAAATCAAAGTCCAAAGCCTGAAGAAAAGGGTATATTAGGATTTGTGCTCTCAGCTTTGGGAGATCTCGTCTGTTCACCAGTGCTTGGGCCACAGCAGCAGTGATTGTGCCTCCGCTACTATCTCCACAGATGATAATGCGAGCAGGGTCTACTCCATAGTCTTGTGCAGTCCTCATGAAGTGGATGGTGGCAGCGAGGCAGTCCTCAAACTGGGTTGGATATGGATGCTCAGGAGCTAAACGATACCTAAACAGGGGGGAAAGTGTTCAAACATGGTCATATCTAGTGAATGTCTCACAGTCATCTCTTCATTCACATATTTCTTTCTGAAGATAGGAAATATTCAGATTATAATTACAGCAATGGAATTGATGATAATTACTGCTTTTAATGGATTATTTGCTACTATTGCTAATATTTGGGGGGGGGGGGGGGGTATACCTTTGCAGAATACATGTTTACCTATGTTTTAGGTGACTCTAGGCATGTGCTGAGTTATTGTAGGATTAGGTGGCCAGGCACTTGATCTGCTGTATGTATGAATCAATTACCAGCAATTCCACTTAGAAATTCAAGTGAACGTTTCCCAACACATTGTTAGAGAATATGAGCACAAAACATTGATAATGAAAATCTTAAAGGTTTTCAGTGGTTTTCTATAAGCTGAATTCTTTGCAAACATAGTCAGTAAGAGTTAATGGTTCCTCAAGTATTTTAGGATGTAAATAGTAATTGCTAGAATTTAATCCGTTTCTAAGACATCAACTCTTTTCCTGAATGCTTAGAAATCAGTTCTTTTAAAAATGCATTGCAGCTTATCAGAAAAAGACTGAATGTTCATCTTGGGTTGATTGCAGGTTAAATGTGGATATCCATGTGGGTATCTCCCACCAGTTCTTCAGAACGCCTACTAAGATGAGTATTTAGTACTCTGGGCAACTGTGCTTTTAGTAAAAGCAGTGACACCTAGAACACGGTGTTGGCTTTCAGTTGAAGCTTGCTTTAACTGTGCATTACAGACTTGCAAGCCTAGAAGGAGGCGTGAATGGCTGCCACACTGTGTGTCTGGATTGACTCCACTTACCCAACACACACCACCACCGAATTGCTTTGTCCGGCAAAATAGCGGCATGTTCTTTCATAGGCCCCTGTAATACAAAGTATTTCAGTGGAGTTGTAGCTTGCTTTAAAAATAAGTAGAATGCAAGTATTCTGGAATTCTTATCTCTGCTCTGCCCTGTGATTCTTTTATTGTGGCATGGTCTGATCTGGACATGGCTCACAATTTCATTACATCTGTAGGATCTTCCTGCCAGTAAGAAACCTGGAATTTACACCAATGCATTGTTTCAGTCTCCTCTTTGAGAAGTTAGGGAATAGAATGAATGATGCCACTTCTAAAGCAGTATTGAAAATGAGAAGTTATTTTAAAATGCCAAACAAAACCAAGCCCTTTGCTAAATCCAGCACAAGAATTTTTCTTGTGCATGAGCCACCACCTAAGCCCTTAGGCCTTTGCATTTCTGTTGCCAATTGAAATTTTTCCCTTGTTTTGCCACTAAGACAGACAGCAGTATACACAGATACACAAAAGCATGCACACACATGTCAACACAAATTGGGTTCTTAAAAATAAGAAAGAAAATTCTAATGAGATTTTCAACTTTTCTTGTATGCAGGAAGAAGGAAGAAAACAGGTATTATAAATGATCAGAGACAAAACATTCTAGATACACTACCTGTGTAAAGACAGTGTAACTCTTAATTTACATACTTACTGCATGGAAATAAAATTACTCTGCTGCCCTGAAATTAATTTTGTTTTATCTAATGCTTCACCTACTAAATTTTCTTGTCATCTAAGAAATACTGTATCAGATCAGAAACCACATCTATTTGTGATTATAGCTCATATTTATATTACTTACGAATACTTCCAAACAGTCCAACTCCTCCGTGAAAATAAAGGATTCCCCTTCTTTGGCCAGTAGTTGATGTTTTTGGCTGGTAAATTCTTACTTCAACCTTTTCAAACCTTAAGTCCCTGATAAAAAGATGTTTATCTTTTAATGGCGGTATTCCATCCATGACAGCCCTGATGAAATACATCTCTGAGGTGATACCTACTTTTTCCAAAACTTTTGCCTGTTAATAAAGAGAAAGAAACCACAAATTAGTGCAAATTTCCATCTTACCTGGAGACTGATCGTGAAACATTTACAATTCCATGCTTAGTTCAAACTTTGTCTGCTGATGGTTCTTAAAATGAAGTGACCAGTTAAGGAGACGATTTGGATAGATCTTCATTGTAATGTAGTACCTAACAACATTTGAAGTTCAAATAGCAGTAGATTGGAGAGGGATGGATGATTTATATTCTGGAGCTGCCTTTTGTCCATGCTCCTCCAAAAGCAAGGCCTTTGAGCCTGTGGATAGCCTGCCTGAGAGTTGCTTCCACAGAAGTACAGTGACTTGGCTCGTGAATCCCATCTCAGGTCTCTAGCAAAACTGTTAGCAGTGCTATGTAGCAGAACGTAGGATTAGCTTTGGTGGTAATTTCTAGGTCATGTTAGATGAGAGCATGGTGGTTTGCAAATTATTTCATTCTTGAGTGGTGAAATCCTGGCTTAGTTTTTATCAGTCAGAAAAAATCCCTGGTGTTAGGGTCCTTTGTGCTCTTTACACAGGTACAAAAGCCTACCAGGTACAGTCCAGAACTCAACAAGATTGCACTGTGCCAGCCTTTCTGACTAAATGCTGGGTACAGGCAGCTTACAAAACTATTAACACAGTAGGTAGCATAATTTAATCAGCCTGTTTCCCAGACAGGATCAGTCATAAGTCCCCTGGCTATTGAGTAGCTTCTTATAGACTGAAATCAGATGAAAAAATAAAGGATGAGTTAATAGATTTTTCAATGAAGTTCTATTAATCTGAAGATGTAGGTGGTTTTATTGAAGTAGATCCTTACAGGTGAATGCAGTCGTTTCTTCATAAAATCTGTTCTACTGAGCACAAGTACTTCAAACTAGTTTGTCTCCAATGACTTCACAGGCATCTTTTGTCCCAGCTGAAGACTGGATATGCTGGAACCTTTAATGTTCTCTGCAAACTGTGAAAGGGTTTGGCTATTTAGGCACAAGTAATTGGCCTAACGGCCATACCAAGAGTTGCCACATAGCTCAGACTTCACTTGCATTTGAACTTTTGTATAGCCATACATAAAAGACATTCCAGGCCAGGCTGGATGTGGTTCTGAGCAACCAGGTCTAGTTGAAGATGTAGCTGCTCATTGCAGGGGGTTGGACTAAATGAACTTTAAGGTCCCTTCAACCCAAACTATTCTATGATTCAACGATTCTGTGATTCTGTAAGTATTCTTATCTTTGTGCTCCTGCGAGGTGATGTGGTACAGCGCTGGCCTCTCTCTGGCCAGCAGAAAGGATACTAAATTGTAAGATCAGCAGTTTAAAACTACGTTAATCACCAGTAAATTTTTAAATCCTGCAGTTTAGCTTTTTACAAATGAATTACACAAGGATAAAACTTTGTCTGAGGGTTAAAGAGTCTTCATACAGTGTTTTGAAAATGTGGAAGTCCACACTTTGTGCAGTAGATGTAAGAAAATGTAATTTGTCTTCTGTCACTACCCTGTTTTGTTGCACTGCTCTAGTGTCGTGGCAGTTTTGAGGCCTTGGTAGGGCGCCTCTCAAGAGACATGATGAGTCACATTCCCAGGAGTTTACCGGCTTACTTCAAGCAAAGCTTAACAAGCAGCGTTGCATGGAAAAGGAGGCAGAAACAATAATGGAGCCTGGAGCTGAAGTGAAATGTAATGCACAGGCCAAAGAAACTGAAGGGTTTTTTTCACAGTTTAGACAACCGAAAGAAAAGAAGGTTGATTTAGGTTTCACACAAGAAGTGTTTTCAAAATGACAGTGGCAACACTTAATCCAGGAAAGGATAATTGTGAAACAGGAAGACAAGTAGAAATCTCATTTTAGTTTTGAAAAGAAAGAAGGTAAAAAAAAAAGGGAGGATCAAAAATGTGCCAAAAGCAATGACACAGAAATACAGCTTTCTTATTATGTGTACTGTCTCAAAAAAAAGAGTCGTGTAGATGTATTGAAAGGCAAAAGACAATGTCTTTCAGATGGCTCAGAATTAGAGTGATACAGTTGTAGAAGAGAACTGAGATCACAGACATCATTTAGTTGCTCACTGTCTAAATAAGCAGTGTTCTACAGAGCTTAAGTTCCACATACACAGTGCAGTAAACTGCTTAAGCCTTCCAGCACTGCACTGAGCGTTGAGGCAACCAGATCAGAAAGCGAAAACATAAATTAAAACTGGGAGTTACGGAGTCTGCAGGATTTTATTTTCCATATTGTTGCCTTCGGTGCTGTATAGCAAGCAGCAGGGTCTGTTATACCAGCTGAGCTGAACATATCTGCAGTGGTGCTCACAATCACCAAATTAATCCAGTTGCATATTTGCAATATATTTAAAAATTGATTTTAAAAGAACTCCCCTCATCAAGCCATTAGCAATTTATCAACCATGAAATTAAGAAACTCTAGTTTGAATCAAGTTTTACTTACGAGGCCAAACCCAAAGTTCATGACGTGATGAAAAATGAAAAGCTTTCGGCGCTGACTAAATCCATGAGGGATTTTTGCCTTGGGGTGTTCATAGTAGAATGCCATTGCCACGAAGAAAGTCAGAACAGCAAGAAAAATCACTAGAAGCAGTCCCATCTCAGTGTACTGTGAGGAGCCAAATTGAAGAACCAGCTGTGGCTTCCTTCCTCCTCTGACTTTTGAAGGATTTCTGAAGGTAAAGGCATGGGATTAGCAATTCTCTTCATATCCCATCATCCACCTTTTAAAAATGCCAATAGGAAGATGAAAACATGTGGCAATCAAAGCATACAATTAAACAGACAGTAACAATTAGTCGTGGGAGAAGCTTGCATAAGCAGTTTTTCGGATTTGCAGTGAACATGGTTTGGGTCTGTGCCCATCACTATAGACCCAGTGCTTTGTATATCATTTGTTGTGTCAGTTTTATGAGAAGACAAGAATTTGTTGCGTCTCTCCCTAGTTCTTGAATACACTCAGGTGTGTGTTATTCCTGAGTTCCCCTGAGTTCCTGTGGAACAGGATTTCTTAGCAGTCATCTTCAGAGCTGCTCAGTTTCTTGATTTATGCCACCTTCACACCTTACTTCTGCAGGCGTTTCGTGAAATCAAGGTTTCAGTGTCACAAACACATTTAATCACCTTTGATGACTGATTCTGTACCCTGCTATGCCCTTGTGTTCTTGAATCTAATGGAACCAGAAGCAGCCTCAAGTGTCAGTGCTTTGCATCTTGCTTCATCCTCCTTGATAGCTTTTCTCCAGGAGGTGAAAGCCCGGAACCAACTGTTGTGGTTGGTTGGTTGGTTTGTGTTTGGCTTGGTCGAGCCTTACAGTACTGCAGTCTCCACCTTCTCATGAGTACATTACTTGCAGATGTCATTCCAGGTAGAAATGTGATTGCAGCTGAGGAAGCCTAGACTTGGACTTCATGGTTTCAGTGCTGGTAACAATGACTAGACATCAGGAGCCTACTCTTTTCTGTGTACTCTGTGGTGAGCTTTAGGATCTGTGCCTGCCTCTGGAATGAACAGATTTTTCAGTACACAGATTATTAGTGATGAGATTTAACCTTAAACAAAAAATCTGTAAAGCCAAGCTTTTTTGGCTCGTAAGAAATTACCTTTGGGTGTCTTTTTACCAGTCTGCTCAAAATGTGAAGGCAACAAATTCTTACTCTGAAAAATAGCCATAGGGGTAAAATGAGCATGTAACACTTTGAGTGCAAGGGATGAGCTGACCTTGAGATGTATATTAAAATGAAACTAGATACAGAGAACTCCAGAGCTTTACAATGCATAATCCATGACCTGCATAGGGAAGATGACCTCAGGCTTGATTCCTGACTTTAGAAATTAATTGTTTCGAATAAACAGGAAGGAACTTCATTTCCCAGTCTGGTAATACACTCTCTGAGAAGTGGCTGATCCCATGTTCTACTCCCTCTGTCCAAACTGATTCTTCATTTTACTCCACGCCTCTTTGCAGACTTTCCTTTCCCAATGACCCCGTTCCCTCTCCCTGCCTAGCCAAAGGTTGTTTACATGCTGAGGATAAAGTCAGATTCCTTTTCCTGTATTCTTTGTGGCAATTACACATTGCCCAGCTGGGTGAGGGATGCTGGCGACAGGCATGCTGTTGGTTGGGCTACTCTTGGGAAATGGAATGGGTGAATTCAAACCTGTCACCACCAAGGTGCATATAAGGTTCAGCTTTCTTACAGTTCAGACAAGATCATTAGGAAATACTGTTTCACAAAACATGGTTGCAGCTCCTTTCTTTAGTGTTTTAATAGTGAAAGTAATTAATCAGCTTTGTGTGAAACTGTGCTGTCCTAATGAGTTAGGTGTGGTGTAAGTATGCTTATCAGATCTGGCCCCTGTGGGGTTCTAAGAAGTCTTCTGACACTTGTGACAGATTCTTTGTACTAAGGTTCTTACCACCTATTGTTGGTCTGTTTTCTAAATCTTCTGGATGCCAGTCCTTGAGGTCGCCAGTTACCAACAGGTCTTGGACAAGATCTTTGGGGCATGTTAACTAGGTCCAGACATCACAGCCAAACCACCAGCCCCAGAGGCTCCACACAAAGACTGGATGTGCTGGAATCTGCTAATCAGCTGTAGAAGAAACAAAAGTAGTTGGTTCCTGAAGTAATACATTCTTTTTTCCCTTGGGCATTGCAGGCACAGCGTAACCCTTAATGCTTTATAAATGTAGTCTCAGCAATTTAGAAGCTTGCTTGAATCCCAGGATGGAGAACCATTCCCTAAATAATCTTTCAAATGTATACTCTCTCCAGCTTCTGATTTTTTAACCTTATCGCTTGAGGTATGTGAGATATGTCTGTCTCTGGGGGATAGAGCAAAGGAATTGGCTCCTGAGGCCAAACCCCCATTTTCTCCTACCCTAGGAACTGCCTTAATTTCCAGTGAAGATCTAAATGTCGTGCCTGAAACCTTGTCAGTACTGGGCTGGCATCCTTAAGCTTATTCTCTCTTGTGTAGCTGCACATAGCAGGAGAAATAGGCTGAGCCAGTTGCTCAGAGGTGAACTATTTCCTTACATAGTCTTCAAGCAGTCCCAAGAACTCTCTGCCTGTCTCTGGTGCTGGTTAGGTGTCAACGAGATACTCACCTGCTTAGATTCAGACACAGCAGGTGTGAATAGATGCTTATTCTTGGATACCGGGAAGCATTCCCAGAAAAGGTGATGCATGTCCAGAGAAGCACTTTGTGAGTTCTGCAGACCATGGGGGCCATCTGGTGCTTGAAGTGTGAACCCTGGTCAGTCCTCACCAACGTACTGTTGACTGCCACTAGCTGTCAGCTGATGTGCAGAGCACTGAGGAGATCCATTAATGGATTAGTTTGGGTGTTCACACTTGTATCCGTATGGATAATTCCTTGTGGAAAGTCATTGGTGTGCGTAATTCAGTAGGAGCACAGCAAGTTTGCCACTGATTGTGTTTTAAGTACTTGAAAATTAATTCCATGCTTTGGCAAGTATCTTCAAACGAACAAATGTTCTATCATCTTAGCAATGCAAGACACACCAGAGCTCGAATTAATTCAAAGAAAGTAGAGGACAGGAAGTTCCATGGAGACAATTCCATCTTGTGACTGCTAAGTTTTAGAAAATATGGGAGTCACTACTAAGAAAGGGGAGTTCAGGACTTGCTGTTCCCTACTTACCCATCTGCACTGCCATGGTTATAACCTTTAATACAGATTAAAATGTATGTCTTCAAAAGTGTAATAATACTGCTGATGTATTATAAATCTACTAGTATTTCTAATAAATTAAAGACTTCCAGATAAAGGACCATGGAAAAATCCCGGGAGATCAGTGAAGAGTTTGGACATTGGCCTGTAAATGAGGCATAAATCCAGAAAGTGAATAATGGAAAGAAAACAAGTATTGGACTGCTGAATGAACAAGGAGTATAATACATGCTGTGCTGAATGAGGTATGTGTAAAACTATGAGATCATACAGGATTGTCTCATAACTTACAACATGCAAGGTGGAATTGTATGGACATCCTTAGTTCTAGCACTTCCAACCATCTCTACCTGCAAAGAATCATCAAGAGAACAAGCTTAGTATTGAAGATGCAAATAAGAGCAAAGTGTGGTTAAAAATGACCCCAAATAAAGATAAGCCTAACGACTCTCACCGGTTTGATGACGTGCATGGAGACATAACCCAAGCTGGCTTTAAGCCAGCTTGTTCAAGGCAGAACACCAAGGATTAACTGCTCAAATACTAGCCAGCTTTCTGCACAGCTTTTGCAGCAGGTACTGGCTCTGCTGGCCTAGCTTCAGCTACCAACATGTTGAGATCAGAAACCACAATTAATTCCCAATTTCACATCTGGTTGCATAACTAAGGCAAATCCTGAAACCCTCAAACAGTGGAATATCTAGAACTTAAACGTATTATTTACCCCTGGAAGAATTTCTTTGCTTGAAGCGTAAATTCCTAGTACCTGCAATAGGAAAAAGAAAACACTTTGTTCTGTCAACAGAGCATGAAGAAACATCACTTCATTTTGCTGCAAGGAACTGGAGAACAAGAATTCACAAGTAATAACCTGTTGCTGCAGAGAGGTGTAACTGAAGTTGTCGTCATATTTAATTAACATGGTGACAACATGAAGGATTTAACCCGACATTTTCTTCCTACTCACAGTTTGGCTGACAGAGAATGAAGATAGGGACTAACCTCTTTCCGCATTTGTGTGTGCTCAGGTATTACAGGTGCAAGGTGGTTGCATAAGAGTGATTTTACAATTCGTAAGCATTGCGTGACCAGCTGTTTTGACATGCAGTGGCAATTGTGTTGTGTTTAGTAAAGGTGTATCTGTTCTAATGAGCAATATAACAACTCAGCTGACGTTTTTCTTTTCCTTTGTGTTTTGGGTCTTTGCAGAAGCAGTTCAATAGTTCATTCACAGAAGTTGTTCAGCTTGAAGAGAAGAAGGCTCCAGGGAGGCCAGTGCCTAAAGGGGCTACAAGAAACCTGGAGAGGGGCTTTGGACAAGGGCCTGGAGGGACAGGACAAGGGAAATGGCTTTAACCTGCCGGAGGGGAGGTTGAGATGGGATCTGAGGCAGAAGCGCTTCCCTGTGAGGGTGCTGAGGCGCTGGCACAGGGTGCCCAGAGAAGCTGTGGCTGCCCCATCCCTGGCAGTGTTCAAGGCCAGGTTGGACACAGGGGCTTGGAGCAACCTGCTCCAGTGGAAGGTGTCCCTGCCCGTGGCAGGGGTTGGAACTGGAGGAGCTTTAAAGCCCTTTCCAAACCAAACTATGCTGTGATTCATTCTGTGAGATTATTTGGGCGCCTTCCATACTGATTTCATACCTTTTCTCCAAATTCCAGGTAAAGAAGTTGATGATGTGTCTGATTACAAAAAGGCAAAACCCACTATGTCTCTGTTTTACCTGAATACAACCAATTGCTTCTCAGAAAGGAACTTTATAGAATAGTTTAGAGGACATTCAGTCGTTTTGTGCACTGCATCTATGCTGCCAGTCTCAGACACAGATACCCGTCTCGCACAGCCGGCAT